GTGATAGTCGATTATCCAAGCTTGATAATCGATTATAAAAAGATTCCTTGTCCAAAAATTTAAAATTCTATCCGTTGGAGGACAACGGTAACCCAGATAATCGATTGTCAACAAGTGATAATCGATTATTAGAACTCTCAGAAGATTCTGGATTTTGGCTGCAAAGACTGATAATCGATTATTGCATAAGTGATAATCGATTATTGCGTGCTTCAGAACTTTGGATGTTCAAAGCTGCAGGGGTTGATAGTCGATTGTCACTAAGGTGATAATCGATTATCACCCAGCTAAAGTCTAGCGAGCTGAAACCCGTTTTGAAAAACCGAAATCCAAAAACGAAGTGTTCCCAAAAGTAAAAACCAGGTTTGAAAAATATTGTATATGGTATAAAATAGTGAAAACAAGACTTGTTTGGTAAAAACCAAATCTCCAAGGTCGTACAATACGTGCGTACGGTTTTGACCGTTTTTCACGTGTTAGACCGATTGACCAAGATATAAAAGTGGTTTTTATAAAATAATTATTTGGGAACATTTTAATAATGCTCAGAGGTAAAAACAGGGTTTAAAATATTGAAAACCACGGAGTTGGTTCGGGCGCCAAAAACCGAACGCCGAAAGCCGAACGCCGAACACCGACTTAGGTGGTTTCAGTTCCGAGCAAGGACCAGGGATTTTAATAATAAAAAAATCATCAAAAATATTTGTTTTGATGCACAAAAAATATTTTATGATTTGTAAAAATTGTTTTGACTCTTTGAGAACCGAGACTTGAATTTATTGTCGGTTTTGATCACAAAAGACCGACTCGACTAAGTCTTCAATTCTTGATCTTGTCCTTGAGTCTTTTTGGTCTTGTTCCAAGCCATTCTTCATGCCTTGAGTTATTCAACGAAACTCTTCATATCCACGGCGGTTTGGCAATTATCAAAACCGGTCAGAAATGAACACGACTTTAGTTTATCGTACAAAGTGTGTTCCAACAACCACAACGTGCGCACGAGAACCCAACGATGACCCCGTGGGTCTAGGGTTCACTTCTGATTACTGGACCCGAGGTCACGGGAAGGTATCCGAAGTAAAACTATGAATCGACTAGTGCGGTGTTCCAGCCTAGTCACGTCTTAATCTCTATTACAAGGTTAAACTAGAAGGAAAAAGTCTAGTATTTTCTAAATATCCCCAAGTAATTACTAAAGTGAGATTATTATTATTTTTCCATCTTTTTATGTATGTGAAAAACATTGGAATTAAAAAACTTAAAATGCTCTAAAATATATTTGCATGTTATATATGTCTACTGGTTATTTGCCACTCAACTTATGCTGAGCGTGTAGTGTTTACTGCACGCAGGTACTAGCAAGGGGAACAACTGCTGAGGAGGAAAGCTTGGACGTGGAGGCCGTACCGAAGGAGTTCTTATTAATTACTCCCTCCGTCCCTCATAGATCTTCCCATTTGCCTTTTTTATTTGTCCACCATAAATCTTCTCATTACCTTTGTTAACCATTAAAATACCACAACTACCCTCACTTACTTTATTTATTACACATCACCCACCTCATTTAATACACTCCACCCATTTTCATTAAGGGTATTATGGTAAACTTTCACCTTTTTCAAGTCTCCTTAAAAACCACAAAAACTCAAAATGAGAAGATCTTAGATGGACGGAGGAAGTAATATTTAATAATGAGTAAATCGTTGAACATAATCTACATTGTTTTCTTGGGCTTGAACCCAAGGTTGTATTAACTGGGGATGTTTTACTTTAAGCTTACGCCGGTAAAAAAAGGTTTTTTTATTCTCTCCAGTTATCAAAAAGAGTATAATTCAGATAGATAATATTTTACAAAGTAACCCGGTTTTACTAGCACTTTGGTTCGGGTGACTCGGGTCACCCGGGGTGGGGTGTTACAGAGCCCATTGATATGATTTTCATGCCCTAAACAAGTGCTAAATTCCAAAATAGAACTTCACCCCGCACACATGATTGTGTACTTTATGTTTGGGCACAATTGCTTCAAAAATCGATTTTTACACTTTGGCAAAAATCGATTATCATCTCGTTCGCTGAAGAAATTTTGGGCAGAAGAAAAAAATCAATTATTTATTTAAAAAAATCGATTTTTTGGTGTTTTTCAGCACAACACCTTTTTTCTAAACTCCAACGGACATATTCCTTCAACCCCTTTATAAACTCCTTTCCTTGGTCATTTTATTCAATGAACAAGCACTCCAAAACTCCCCTATCTTGAGGTTATAATCCTCCATTCAATTTTTCCTCAAATTGATTTATTTTGAGAGAAAACTAAGTGTTTTCAAGAGAGTGTTTTGTCAACCATTAGAGCTTTAATCATTTCTCATTTCTACTCTTGTGAGAGTTTATGTTGAGAGGTTGAAGAAGATTGTTCTTCTTGTTGTACAAGACTTATGTGACTTAAGTCTTAGTTGTGAAGTCTTGTAGAGGGCATATCTACGAGCGGTTGTGTCGAGGCTTGTGGGATTCAAGTTCTCGAGCTGTAAACGGTTTGTTAAGCACCCGTAAGCTTAACGGAAGTAGTGGTAGCTTCGAGAGAATCTCTCGGGGAACTGGACTAGCCACGAGGTGGTGAACCAGTATACATCGGTGTGTTCTTTTCCTTCTCTCTTTTATTTCCGCTGTACTTACGTTTATATTTTTAATCCTGCGAAAACGGTAATCTTTCTCAACAACTCTATTCAGCCCCCCCTCTACAGTTGCACGCATTGTCTAACACGAGTTTCATTTGCAGAGGGAAACGAATCACCGACCAAAGTGGGTTTCTCGCTTCTGGATGTCGTCTCTCACTTTTGAAGATCGCCTTGGGAGTCGATAGAAATACAGTTACAACAGACCAAAATTATGGAGGGATTGAGAGAGACTGCTCAATATTTGGGTATTTGGGTTGGGCCGGATTGGCGAAATAACTTCCGTAAATACTCCCTATATTATTTTGTATAAATTAATGCCTTTAATATTTTCCCTCTACACTAATTTAGATATAGTGGCAAATTTATAAAATTTCTACAATAAGTAGACTATTTTGTGGCAAATTTTGAATTGCCACAAAAATTAATACACTATTTATATATTATGGCAAATATTAACTTTGCTACTAAAAGTTAGCCACAAAAGGTCATATTTTTTGTAGTGATCACTCTAAATATTAACGTCATCATCTTCATCAATAGCACCACCATCATCACTAACGGCGTCAAACATGGTATCGTCGTCTTCATTCATGTGAGATTTCATGATTGTTTCCTTTGATTCATCTATGTCCTCCCTGAGCCGAGAGTACTAGGGGTGTTCAATCGGATCGATCCGATCCGATCCGAAAATTCGGATATCCGAAAATTTCGGATCACGTAAAACTCATTCCATATCCGATCCGAAAATATTCGGATATCTGATTTTTCAAATCGGATCACTGGATTATCCGAAAAGTTGAGTTTTTAGCCAAAATTTACAAAAAAAGGTAAAATAGCAAAATCAACCCAAAATATCAAATTCAATATAGATTTACTAAAAGAAAAATTCCACGACTAGGTAATGGCCTAATAAAAAATGATACCTAAAAAAACAAAAAAAATTAACTTTGATAATTTTTCCTAAACAAACAAAAAAAACACTATTAAAACAAAAGATTCTAAAATGCTTGATAGACCAAAACCCCCCGGGTGTGTATTTTTTGGTCTATACGATACATGTATAAAATACGAAAAATATATAAACAAGAACATAGACAATAGACTTTTGACGTGGAAACCAAATCGGTGAAAACCACGGGCCTTTTTCGGCGGTACCATGCCAACGGGGATGTTTTATTATATATCGAGGGTATATTTGTACAGTATATCGGCGTGATAGCCATTGATGGAGCGCGAAGCTCTATCGAGAAGAAAAAGATGAACGGAGAGAATACAATATGTGTGGAATGTAGAGGGTGACTCCCCCTTTCTTCTTGGTTATGTGTCTCTTATATAGCATCAAGGTAGGAGCTTAGGGTTAGGGTTCCCTAGCGGGCTCCTTGCGTGGCCCAATATCTTTAATTAGGCCCAAGGGATATTATCCCATCACAAGCCCCCTAGTTTCTTAGTGAACACGAAGTGTTGACTGAGAAACTATAGCTTGTCTTTGTCTATGTGAATTTCTTCAATCGACACTCTCTTGTACCGGAATCCCTTGAAGCTTCTGGCGGCGTTGGCATAAATATTGACTCCTTAAGCTCCTCTTCTTTTAGTACCTAAGAAAGTTAGAAACATACTTGCCTTGTCGAGCGACTACGAAGTCTATGAGATGGCTTCGTTGTGTTTCGAGGGGAGGACTTTTAGGAACCTCAAAGAATGAGGGATTTGGTCGCCTCGCGAAGTGGTTTTTGGACCGACCTCGGGAGAGGACTTTTGTGCCTCGTAGGACGAGGGCTTAAGCCCCGCGAGGCGGTTTAGGGCCTACCTCGGGAGGGGACTTTGATGAATATCTCTTGGAGAGGTTGTATTTGTGAGGGTTTGGTTGGGTGCCACTTTTGTGGGCTTAGATAGGCTTTGCCTATTGTTTTATTTGTTGCATCGATGACTTGGGAGAACGCACCCACTCATCCCGAGGTGTGAACTCTTAGGACATAGCCAGTTGTAGCATTTCCCTGGTGATTTTCACATGGTTTGCTTCTGGCGTCGTCCAAAATTTTTGAGTTCTTCATGGCGTGACCCCTCAAATTTGGAGGTCACACGCCAAACTCTAATAGACTGAAGATTTTATGATACAAAGTATGGTGCGAGCCTCACTTTGGTCATCTTCATTTTTTTTGGCTTTCCTTGTTTCGTGAGCAAGCGGCTCAAACAAGTCTCTCACTTGTGAGCACACCGCTCAATGATTTTCTTTTTCTTGTTCTTTTTTTTTCAATGCCGCTGCTTAACTTATTACAAGATGTCAATTGATCAATTGGTCTTCATAGCCCAATCTTGAGAGTTCTTGATACGCCACATGGTCCAGTCTAAAAAGTTTAGATCCAGATTTCTTTTTCTCCATGAGAGGCTTAATTAAAGGACGGCCAAACACTTTTTAGATCCCTTGTTGAATCCAATTTGAGCTTTCCATATCCCAAAAACCGGATCTTTAAATCGACGGCCCTTTAGATTTGGGGCCTTCTGCCCAAAATCGTGAATGATGGAAGCGGATGAGTAGCGGTTGATGACGACTAAGGTGCGCACACGATGGGGCAACCTGCAGATGGTCAGCAACGAGGTGACCCACTGCGATCAGCGACAAGGCGACCCGCAGCGGTCAGCGACAAGGCAACCCACATCGGTCAGCGACAAGGCGACCCGGAGCGGTCAGCGACAAGGCGACCCGCGGCGGTCAGCTACGAGGCGACCAGCAGCGGTCAGCGACGAGGCGACCAGCAGCGATCAGCAACGAGGCGACCAACGGCGGTCGGTGATGAGCGACCAGCGGCGGTCAGCGAGGAGCGACTAGTGGCTCTCTAGGCGACCTCCTCGCACCTCCATTGTGGTTTTAAAATCCCACAGTGAGGGTTGTAATCCGATAGCAATTGGAGACTTGAGGTGAGCAGCGGCCGTCGGCACGACAAAGGCTACTCTAACGGCTGCGGGGTGACTTCGATGTAATCTCCAACTCCGGATCTTAAATCCGGCTACAGACGAAAAAGATCTGGCCGCGGAGCACAATTCTTTCATGTAATTACAGGAGTTATTAGGCTTCATGTAATTCCAATGATAATGATCAAGAACGAGCAAGAGGTCCGGACAAGAGTAGCAAGAGGTCCGGACAAGAGTAGACACTGTAAACGTCGGGTGGCGCCATCCCAAGAACCCCCGAGTGTGTCTATTGTTGCAGAGACCATTCCCAATTGTCCGTATTCGTGTATGGTGAGGTCTTGGGGCTACCATGGTCAGGCTAGAGCTTCCACTCCCGATGGCGGTATTCATGTCCGGTGACCAACAGGGGGGACTGGAGCAGCAGCCCGTTCACACCTCATTGGTCTTTAGTGGCCAGAACCGGCCTAGGATGTGGAGGCCCAAAAACCTCACCAAGAGAGCGGCCTAGCCGATTCCACTCGCCCTTGTCCTAACAGCGGTAGAGTTGTTGCATAGCAATGGCGGTGAGCTCTGCGAGATTTAGTCATTAATGGAAGCGATCGGAGGTCTTGCGACCCAAGCACTCGCTCAATGGTCAGCGGCGGTCAGCCATAAGGTGACCAACAGCGATCAGCCTTGAGGGCGAGCCACGGTGGTCAGCAGCATGGCGATTTGCGACGGTTAGCAATGAGGTGACCCGCGACAGTCAGCTGTGAAGCAACCAACGACGGTCAGCAATGAGCGACCAACGGTGAGGACGGTGGATCCAGCGAGCAATCAGCACACGAAGTTACTCTCCAGAATGACACTCTGGCACAAATCGCTGCCAAGCTTTCTGTGTTAGATGACCTTAAGGCAGAAGTGACTACCCTGAAAGTGCAAGATAGAAGTAATTCTGGCAAGGCAAAGATGAGGCAGTATACGGATCATTCTGGCGATGAAAACAATCACCACCGCCGATTTCCCTGATCCAAAGTTGAGTTTCCTAAATTCAGCGGCGGAGATCCACGGGGCTGGGAGTTGAAGGCTTAAAAGTACTTTCGTTACTATGGAACATCAGATGAAGATAAGGTTGAGCCTGCGGCCATGCACCTAGAAGGTGACGCTCTCGACTTGTTCTCCTGGACCAGTGCCGAAAGGACGCTCTTGTACTGGGAGGAATTCATCAAAATCATTAAGGAGCATTATGGACCGCCAGAATACTTGAACCCAAATGAACACCTTGTCTTAATCAAACAAACAGGCTCCGTATAGGACTATTGTCAAGAATGGGCGAGAAGGGTTGCTCGAGTCCGAAACTGGACTGACCATTGTCTCTTGGGTGTCTTTATTGCTGGTTTGAGAGAGGATTTGAGTTCGGAGGTCAGAATCCACAAACCCAAATATGTGTTCAGGGCTTCTAGTCTAGCCCTTGAGTTTGAGAAACGGAATGCACCTGTGCATTTCAAGACAAGTTATATGGGATCAGGTCGGGGTGTTGGTTCCGATTCTACCATTGACCCATACCGAGAGTTTAAAAACTTGTCCCAATCTCACTCGCCCCAACCACAGGCATTCTCAGGATCTTCAAGCTCAACACCAACCTTGCCCGTTTCGAGATTTAGTAGGGACGAGTCGATGAAGCAGCAACGCAGGGATAAAGGACTTTGCTATCGGTGTCGCAATCCCTTCAGGCCGGGTCACTATTGTTCGACTTCATCTTCTACCTTCTCCTTGATGGAAGTTGATGAGGAAGGTAACCCGATGAATCCTAAGCATGTTCCCATTGATGGGGAGGCAAAAGAGGAGGAAGCGTCCTTTAATGGAATTCTGGGAACGCCAACGTCCGCCACAATGAAATTAAGTGGAAAATTACATGGACATGAAGTTCTCTTGTTAATTGATAACGGTTCAACACACAACTTCATCTCTGAAAAACTTGTGGAGCAAGTTAAGCTACATGATTCCTCTGTTCAGACATTTGGGGTACAGGTAAGAGACTGTTTTATTATTCAGTGTGATGAGATTAGCAAGTCCGTTTCAGTTAAGCTTTCAGGTTTGACTCTTACACAGAATTCTTGCCCATTTCCACTAGCTCGTTCTATCATGGTTATTGGAATCAAATGGTTAGCCTCTCTGAATACCATTCAAACAAACTAAAATGAAATGTTTCTGATTTTTTGGGTTGACGGGAAGCGATATAAATTACAAGGCATCTCGAAAGTTGATCAAAGAAGTAGATTAAATTCAATGGTGTGTCGTGAGCTGTAGTTATGAGTAGAGGAAGAATCTCCTTTGAATCTCAATGACTTAATGCAACACCACCATCCAGACTTCCACCTTGAGGATAAGGTGTCTTTCAGAGAGGGGAGTAATGATAAGATCTAGATCAGTGATAGTAGAAGGCCACCTTAATTATATCATTAGGTGTGGGTTAATTAAGTTTGTTACTATTTTATATGTATTAAATAAAAGGACTCTAAGGTTATTAGGATTCCTGAGGCCCTAGAATAGCTTAGCTAGTTAGAACTTATCACTTTATTCTCTTGATCTTATCTGATCAGTTTGATCTTATCCATTTGTTAGAGTTGTTATAAATATCCTAGCTTCTCCATTGCTGAGATATCCTAGAGAATAAACTATCAATCACATTGAGATCCTCTTGGCTTCTATCACTTTTTCATCCGTGAGATTCTTACCGAGAGAAGGGAGGGAGAGTTCTATTTAGAATTAATTTAGATCCGGAATTAATTCAGACAGGTTTCTATCAAGTGGCGATGCAACCCCTCCTTCTTGAACTACCGTCTCCCCCGTTACGCCTTGTCTCTCATTAAGCCAGATTCACTTCCCCATCCCCCTTTCCCGTCTCTCCCGGAAGGCTGGAGCAAAACCCACCTCCAACTGAGTAGACGAAGGTCCGACGCATCTCATTTTGGAATAGCGAGCACAAAGGTAATTTTTATCTTTTATACTTTTCTTTCTCTTTTTCCGCTACTACTTTGTGCATAAGTTTTTGTTTTTATTAAAAAATTTGCAAACACCCTAATTCACCCCCCTCTTAGGGTGTAAACCGACTTTCAATTGGTATCAGAGCAGGAAGTTTGATCCTTTCACACTCATCTTTTATTTCTTTTTACGAAACATGGATTCAATGAACTCCCAAAGCATTACCAAGCCACCAATCTTCAATGGGGATAACTATGGCTATTGGAAAATGCGAATGGAGAATTTCATTCAATCTATTGACTATGATTTATGGATAGTCACTACTCATGGTTCGTTTGTTCCTATGACAACTGTAGGTGAACACCAAGTTCCTACTCCAATGGACAAACTCACCACCGAAGACAAGAAAAAACTCTCCTTGAATGCCAAAGCACTAAACGTGTTGTTTTGTGCCTTGGGTCAAGATGAGTTTGCTAGGGTGAGCTCTTGCAAATCCGCAAAGGAAGCATGGAAGCTCCTAGAAGCCACGCATGAAGGAGATAAAGACACAAAAGCTACCAAGATAGCTTTAGGAACATCCGAGTATGAAAACTTCAAGATGAAGGCCGGAGAATCCGTTCAAGATATGAACAAACGATTCAATCTCATTGTCAACAATTTGAGTAAGCTAAATAAAGTTTATCCTACTAGTGAGATTAACACCAAGATTATATTCTCTCTTCCTAGAGAGTGGCATAGTCTTGTTGTAAATTTGTTGCCCAAATGTGCGGATGTTGAAACCTCCACCATTTGGAGCAGCCTATACTCTCGCGAGCTTCTTTTGAAGAAAATGAAGGAAGAAGAACAAGTTCCTATCATCAAGAAGACCATGGAACTCAAAATTGATGACCATCTGGAAAGCGAAGGAGAAAGTGATGAGGAGCTTGCCATGTTCAAGAGATACAAGAAGTTTATGAAATGGAACAAGGGCGAATCCTCAAAAAGATTTCCATCAAATAAAGGTAAACCTAATCAAATAACTTGCTATGAATGTGGAAATGTAGGTCATATCAAACCGGAGTGTCCAAAGCTCAAAAAGAAGGAAGAGCTTAAAAAGGGGAAGAAGAAGGCATTAAAAGTCACTTGGGACGATTTAAACTCCGACGAAAGTGATAGTGACCAAAGCCAAGAATAGAACGCAAATGCTTGCTTCATGGCCACCAATGATGAAGAAGAGGTTAGTTCTCAAAATTCATTTACCTCTTTTGAAAGTCAAATTACTTTTGATGAGTTAAGGCAAGCATTTGATGAATGCCAAGAGGACCTTTTTCGAACCATTAGGGAGAAAAAGGAACTCAAGGTGGCTCTTGAAACTTCTCGTGATGAAAACAAAAATTTAAAACTTAATCTTGAAAAGTTTCAAAACCAAAATGAAGAACTTCAAAAGAAAATTGAAATTTTGATTAATGAAAAAGACAAGGCCAAACGAGGGGCTTTGGAAATGTTTTACAATAGCTATAACTCAACAAAAGAATGGGATAACCAACCAAAACTAACGAAAGAAGGTATTGGTTATGGTCAATCCACAAACTTGATGAGTATGGCTAAAACCATTTTAATACCTCTAAAACTAACCCATCAAACCAAGCCTCAACTTCTAAATCAAAAGTAAGGGCTTGCCATTATTGCATGCAAGCTAACCATATTGTGATAAAGTGTCCAAACAAATGGTTAGTTGAAATGCGTAAATTAAAATGGGTCAAGAAGGGTTCTAACCGGTCGGAATCCAAGAATATTGGATATCAAAAGAAACCCTTTTTGCAGGAAAATAAAAGAAATGATGGTGGATACTATTTCTTTTATTATGACGAAAAACGAAAAGTCCATATACCACTTCCGGAACCTACCAAGACGAAACCCATATATCGACATAGGGTATTCGTCGATTGGAACCCCAAACCTAAGTCAAAAGTAAATTCCTTTTTGACTAGGTGAAAAATACCACTTGGGTTGTGGATAGTGGATGCTCGAGGCACATGACCGGAACAAGAGGATGGTTCACAAATCTCAAGGAGAAAAGTCATGGACATGTGACCCTTGGGGACAAATCTCGGAAGAAAATAATTGGTAAAGGTACGATAGGTATTTCAAGTGATTTTTCAATAAATGATGTTTATCTTGTTGATGGCCTAAAATTTAACTTAATTAGCATAAGCCAACTTTGTGACAATGGCCACAAAATTGAGTTTAATGCAAATTCCTGTGTTTTATATGGTCAAAATAAAGATGAAATCATTTTTGAGGCTAAAAGAGATGGAAACTTATACAAGTTCAATTCCAATTACTTAAGCAACTCAAAAATCACTTGTCTTACTACTTCACTTGAATTTTCAACATTATGACATCGTAGACTAGGACTAGCTAGTTATGATCTTTTGAGAAAACTTTACTCAAAAGAACTTGTTGTTGGGCTACCAAAAATGAGCATACCTACTTCTCGTTTTTGTGATGCTTGCTCTCTTGGAAAACAACATTAAGTTTCATTTAAGCCCATAAAAATGGTTTTAACGTCAAGGCCACTTGAACTATTACATATGGATTTATTTGGGCCTGTAGACGTTCAAAGCCTAGGTGGAGCTAGTTTTACTTTTGTAATTATAGATGATTTTTCTCGTTATACTTGGACTATATTACTTGCCAATAAAGATGATGTGTTTAATGTGTTTGTTAAGTTGTGCAAGAGAATCCAAAATGAGAAAGGTTATGAAATAACCTCTATTAAAAGTGATAGAGGAGGAGAATACCGGAATACCGATTTTGAGACATATTGTGATGAACACGGTATTTCTCACAACTTTTTGGCTCCTAGAACACCTCAACAAAATGGAGTCGTTGAAAGGAAAAATAGGACGTTGCAAGAAATGTCAAGGACCATGTTGAATGAACACAACCTACCTCAATATTTTTGGGGAGAAGCGGTCAACACGGCATGCTACGTTCTTAACCAGGTATTACTTAGACCTATTATTAAAAAGACTCCCTATGAACTTTGGAAAGGTAGAAAACCAAATATTTCCTATTTCAGTTTTTGGGTGTAAATACTAACCAAGGATCATTTAGGCAAATTTGAGCCTAAATCAAATGAAGGAATTTTCCTTGGTTATTCAACAAATAGTAGAGCCTATAGGGTATATAATAAATCAAATCATAAAGTAGAAGAATGTATGCATGTAAAATTTGATGAAACCGATCCCTTTGGGTCGAGTAAGGTAATTGCAGGATCAAATGAAGAAGAAGAGGAAGAAGAAATCCTGAAAATTCCTGCACAAGAAGAAGAAAGTGCAAAGAAGGAACTACGGAAGGCATACAAACACTTGAAATTCATCCAAGAGACAATATCATTGGAGATATTGAAAAGGGAGTTAGAACTAGGAACAATTACAATCTTTGTGCACACTATGCGTTCGTTAGTCAATTTGAACCTAAGAACGTAGAAGATGCACTAAAAGATAGTGATTGGATTATATCCATGCAACTAGAGCTTGAGCAATTTGAACGCAACAAGGTTTGGGAACTAGTCGAAAGACCGGAAAANCTTGATGAAAATGGTGTTATTATCACCAATAAAAGTCGACTTGTTGCTAAAGGCTATAGCCAAGTTGAAGGACTTGACTATGATGAAACTTTTGCTCCGGTTGCTAGGCTTGAATCTATTCGAATGTTATTTGCTTTTGCAAGTGCTCTTAATTTCAAACTTTTTCAAATGGATGTAAAAAGTGCTTTTCTAAATGGGTTGTTGAAAGAAGAAGTTTATGTTGAACAACCTCCCAGTTTTGAAAATCCTGATTTTCCAAATCATGTTTTTAAACTTCATAAAGCCCTTTATGGACTCAAACAAGCTCCTAGAGCTTGGTATGAGCGGCTTACCGAATATCTCATCTCACATGGATTTGCAAAAGGAAAGATCAATTCCACACTTTTTGTCAAAACAAAAGGAAAAGATCTCATAATTGTGCAAATTTATATTGATGATATTATTTTTGGGTCAACTAATGAAGCCTTATGTAATGAATTTTCAGGAATTATGACAAGCGAATTTGAAATGAGTATGATGGGTGAGTTGAACTTCTTCCTTGGACTACAAATCAAGCAACTTGGAGATGGTATTTTCATTAGTCAAACCAAGTATGCCAAAGAATTGGTCAAGAAGTTCAATCTTGAAGACTCAAAGACATACCCGACTCCAATGAGCACATCCTTAAAGCTTGACAACGACGAAAGCGGAAAACCCGTAAATGAAAAGGTATATCGAGGTATGATTGGTAGTTTACTTTATTTAACTGCATCTAGACCCGACATCATGTTTTCCGTTTTCCTTTGTGCACGTTTCCAATCATCACCAAAAGAATCACATCTTAATGTCGTCAAGCGAATAATTCGTTATGTCAAAGGAAACACCAATATGGGTTTATGGTATCCCAAGAATACGAATTTAAGTTTGATAGGTTTTAGTGATGCTGACTTTGGTGGGTGTCGTATTGATCGGAAAAGCACAAGTGGCACATGTTAGTTTATAGGTCATGCACTAGTGTCTTGGTCATCTAAGAAACAACACTTCGTCGCCCTATCCGCCGCCGAAGCGGAATATGTGGCTATGGGTAGTTGTGTTGCTCAAATTTTATGGATGATGCAAACACTAAGTGACTTTAACTTTAAATTTTCAAAAGTGCCTATTTTTTGTGATAACTCAAGTGCAATAAATATTTCCAAAAATCCTGTCTTGCATTCTAGAACTAAACATATAGAAATAAGACATCATTTCATACGTGATCATGTTGCAAAGGGAGATATTCAAATTGAATATGTAAATACACTTGAACAACGTGCCGACATTTTTACAAAACCATTGGATGAAAAACAATTTTTACATTTTTGTCGGGAAATGGGAATGCTTGAATTAAGGTGAAATTTAAGGTTCTTATTATCCCATTATATCATAAAAATAAATTGATCAAGTCCAAATGCTCAAAACACGCGTCTAGAGGTCGAAACAAAACACTAAGTCTGAGGCACGGTACCCCTGACGGTACCAAGGTCCCGTCCAAAATAGGTACCGCCAGAGGAGAATTGGATTTTGAAGCTGCACGGTAGCTGAACACGGTATAGAGTACCGTATACACAGTACCAAGGTACCGTTGACACGGTACCAAGGTATCGATCGTCTCGTCGGGTCAAATCTTATTAAAACCCTAGTTTTTCCCACTTCGGTTCTGCCAGTCTCTGCAATTCGTTCCGGTGTCTCCTCCCGTCTCTCTCTTCCGTAAGTTGGTTTCTCCCTCAACCTAGGTAATTCTTCATCCAATTTCTTAAATCTCTTCAATTCATCAATTACTTCATATACTCTCTTCAATTCGTGCATTACATATCAATTTCCCCATTTTCGTCCAAAATTACCTATTTTCTCAAAATCTCCAGAATGAGTGAAATTGTTTCCAATGTTCAAACCAATGCTCAACCCGATGTTCAAGATGGGTTCAAGGCTTACGCCGACCCACATATCATTGAGGGGAGAACCCTAAAACAAGATGACATCCCGATTCTCATTCTTGAACTCATTCAAGAACAAGGTTGGAGTTTCCTTCTTCAACTTCAAGCCTCTGTTTACCCGGAACTTGTTCATCAATTTTATTCTTCGATGAAATATCATCCCCAAGACCCTTCCATTACCACCGTTGTTGCCGGCAAAACCTTCGGATTCAACACCCAAAACCTTTCCGAATGGTTTCACCTAGGGCATCAAGGAGTCTCCACCTATTGCAAAAAGGGGTGGATTACCGACTCAAGAGATTTTAACTCCGATTCTTGCCTCCGAGTGCTAAATAACATTGCCCTTGACCATGTCTTTGAGGACCCGCACTACTTTCTTCGTAGGCCAAATGTTCAAGACTTACCCGCAAATAGGTTCAACCTCCTCAAAATCCTCAAAGAAAATGTCATCCCGGTCCTTAACAAAGATAAACAAGTTGGGGTTTATGAATGCACTCTCCTATATTGGCTCCTCACTCACAAGAAAATCAATCTCCCTTCCATCATCCTTAAACACATGCACGAATGCTCCAATCGCCTAAACAAACCCTATGGCATGCTTCTTACCCATATTTTCGCCAAGAGAGAAATTCTTGAGGTGCGCCCTTCTCGCGTCCGCTTTCTTGACGCGGAGTGCCTTGGGTATTGTGGCCTTTTAAAGATTGGAGAGGAGTATTACATGAAGAAGGAGTTTCAAAATCTTGATGAGGCGACACGAGCGGAGTATGGTCCTCAGCGTTCCATGTCATCTTTGCCTTCCACTTCACGCGCACCCCGGGCCGAAACCGAAGAAAATGCAAACACGGAGGTCCCTGCTCGTGCTCCTCGGGTCAAACGCTCAAAGTCGGCATCTCATGTTTTCTCGGCCTCTCTCATGCATCGTCACTCTCACATGGCTTCCACTTCCAAAAATCCCTTTAAAAAGTTCAAGAAATTCATCCTCAAGACCGTGGTGGCTCCGATGAGGAAACTTCAAGAAAGCCTCGATGATCTCTCGGATCGGATGAAGAAGACGGAGGACCGTGAGAATCGCCAAAAGCACAACAAGGATCGTGCTTCTAGACGCCGCTAAGTATTGAGCATTTGACAAAATGATCAAACATTCACTTATCTATGTTTTCAAAACAATTGTGTATTTTGTTTTATGTTTCAAACTCCTTATCATGTCTTATGTTTAAAACTCGTACTTATGCACTTTTATGATTGAAAACCCCTTTGTTATGATTATGCTTATGGTTTGATGCTTATGGTTTACTTGAATGCTTATAATTCTTGCCATGATGAATGCCTATGTGTTGAAACTCGTTTTTTTTTACCCCGCCTTTTTAAATGTTGCCAAAAGGGGGAGAAATATTAGGCTTTCACGTTCATACATTTAGGGGGAGTTTTTGTCAAAATATCACGTGCATCAACTTAGGGGGAGTTTTAAAATCAATATATGCTTTTCACGATATGTTTGTGCGTTTGATTATTATATTCGAAAGCCCTATTTGTCAACATCAAAAAGGGGGAGATTGTTGGCCTTGAATGTCGTACCCCGTAACTGTTTTGATGTGCCAAATAAGTCTTCCAAATGTTACTAACATCATTTGCAGGAAGAAAACAAACGCCAAACCTCTATTAGCTTGTTTAGCATCATCAAGAAATACTCCTACGAGTTTAGAAATTATTGTGTAAAGGTAATGATATACTTTAATGATTTACATATGCCCTTTCACTCAAAAATTATTATTAAAATGTCAAATATATTCTTAGTTGGGGTTATTTTGAAAACGAAACACGAAAAACGAGTTTTTGGAAAATTTACACAGGTCTAACGGTACCTGGCTACCGTGTACACGGCACCAGGGTACCACCGGTAGCCAAGCGAACGTACCACTGTACGTTTCAACCAAGTGTTACACGGTACCCCCCCTACCGTGTCACGGTACCCGGGTACCGAACGGTAGGCAGAGACGGTTGGCCACCCTCGTCCTAACCAGGTACCGCCAGAGGCGAACCAATCTTTTGGCTTACACGGTACCCCCAAACGGTAGGCCATACCGTGGGTCACGGTACCTAGGTACCGGACGGTACTGACCCTACCGTGAAGGGTGTCGGATCCGTTGTAATCACTGTAGCAAATTACCAATTTAAATTCAAATCACCCCTAATAACTTCCTAACGGCTTTTAACGTTAAAAACTCAAATTTTAACATTCCAAACTCCTATATAAATCCCCCTCTAAGTCTCATTTTAAAAACAACAACTTCCCAATTAAATCTAAAGCCTATTTCTCTATTCTTGAGTGTTCCTAAAGCTTTGTTCTTATTTTTCTTACTCTTTTGAGTAAAATCTTTCATAATTACACTCACACACAAGGGCATTTGTGTTTCATTATTTTATATCTTGCCTATAGGCTTTTTTTGTTGTTGATTTAAATCTTTTGTTCTTCTCCTACCCAATTTACATTTGTTATCATTTTGGTAGAGAAGGAACACCAATCTTTTTATTGATTTGTAAAAAGTGTGGATAGCCTATAAATCCTCATTGTAAGGTTGAAGATAGCCTTAAAATCTTCGGTTGTAAATGGTTGAGATAGCCGTAGTAAACTCTCATTTACTTATTGGCAAGGGTTGTTTGCCAAACCTCGTTTGAGTCTTCTTAGTGAAGCCAAACAAGTTAGTGGAGGTTAAATCCTTGAGGAGGAGTCTCGAGGTACTGGAGTAGGGAGTTCCTGAACCAGTATAAAATCGCTTGTTTCATATTTTTATCTTTTATACTTTTCTTTCCTTTTTCCGCTACTACTTTGCGCATAAGTTTTTGTTTTTATTAAAAAAATTTGCAAACACCCTAATTCACTCCCCTCTTAGGGTGTAAACCGACTTTCACAAGTCATGCTGATGTTTGGATATCAAGTTGTTGAATAATAATAAAATATGGATTTTACTAAAAAGCATAGCGAGTATACATGGGTGTGTGTGTGTGTGTGTGAGGAGATCTTGACATAATTAGGGCTCAACCTGTTATGAAAGTTGACTATTATTATTAGAATACTACCCTAATTACAATTTTTAATACAATTGTTTAATATCCCCCCTAGAGCTAAACACCATGAAATAAGAAGAAGTTTGTTAGCAAGAGCAGTGTAGCGTGTAAATGGGAGTGCCTTAGTGAGCATATCAGCAAGTTGATCTACAAAAGAAACATGAAAGATAGTCATAGTTTCAGCAATAACTTTTTAATGAACAAAGTGACAATCGGTGGCTACATGCTCCATGCGTTTGTGAAACACAAGATTCTTGGTCAATCGGTAGCCAAATCTTTAAGACATCAAATATATATATATTTATATTTTTTTTTTATTGAAACGAAATTTTTATTACAAGAAAAAGGAAAAACAAAATACAAGGCAGAATGTGTACTTCCCAAAGCCCAAAACGATAGAAACAAGTCTAAACATAACAAGAATACTAAAATGCAAATGAAAGGCGCCAAAACAAAGTAGGCCAAAAAAGGGGGGGTCTATTGCAGCATGTTGATTGCTGTATAATGGCCCTCAAACAGCATGTGATGTAATAAATATATCTGCAACAAACCAACACGTATCAAGACAAGCTGCTTGTAAATCAACAGCTATTCTCCAAAATGTCTTGTTTCCCTTTCTGTATCTTTAGGGAAGTAGTCCAAGATGGAAAGATTGATGAAAGGTAACAGAGAAACTCTTGGCTATTCCAAACTATTAAAAATTAATTGATGGAGAGCTAAAACAGAAAGAGCCTTGGCACAAAAGCAGACCTTGAAACCAGCCTTCATAAAGTTAATTGAATAAGCAAAACAGAGACGAAATTAGGGACTTTAAAGCAAACCTTTCTCCTGAATTAATCTAGTTTTCAGGTCTGTTAACCTCTTGCTCCTCCTTGGCGTGGGGGAGTCTTTAAACTGTAAGCATAGCTGCTCAAACTTCCTCTGATTTCTCCTTTTACTCGTTTCTTTCCTAGCATGCCAGTCTGGTTCATCTTCCGACCCTCTATCTGTAACCCACTCTTCTTCTGATTCTCCTAGAAAAGGCTTAAAAGAAAGCTTTGTCTGCTTCTCTGATCCTGAGTTGTAGCTCACGTTCCACTGTGATCTATCCAAATAATCATTATCAGAATTGGAGCACCCCAAGAAGTGGGGTTGGACCTCCTTCGGTTGTGAGCAATCCTTTGCACCTAGAAGAAAAGGTTGAGCTGCTGGAGAGAGAGGGCTATGGGGGATATGAAAAGGGGGAATTGGGGTTGCAGAAACTAGTTGTTGTGGTTCCTTGAGTGGGGAAAAATGAGTCTTAGGAGGAATGTCAATAGGTGTGTTGGGAAAAATATTATAGATTTTGATGATGATTTATGTAATAGGGACTTTAGGTCTCCCCCAATATTCAATGTAATTTTTCTTTTTAGAAATATTGTTAAAACCAAGTTCTTGAGTTTTCCAATAAAACTGTGATATTTCTTTAAGCGTTTTGATGCCTGAAGACTTGATCAAATTCAGTGATATGAAAATTGGATATCTTGATCGGAAGTGTCAGAAACAAGTAAGGATTTCTCAATGAGATAAAAATTCTCAGATCCGGAAAGACTACATAAGAACCGGATGTCTCGCTACAACCCGCNATATGATGAGATACGTTGATACAACAACACAACGAAGCAATCACTAAAGCTATCTCATTCACAGTTAGCCCAAAAAGCTTGATAAAGAGAGATTTCTAAACTCCTTATCCAGAAGCAAACTTCTCCTCCTTCCAAAAAGCTATAGTGTAAACACTTGAAGGTTTCCTTGCCTCAAGCACCACACCACGTTGAAGGATATTACTTTTGATCAAACTTATTGATTAAAAGGGGGTAGGTCAACTCTCTTACAAGTTGATCTTGCAAGTCCTATTGTTCGGATCTTGCAGTTGTTGAAGAAGCTTGGCCTTCGAAGGAACAACAAAGCCAGCACGAGTGCAGTAGCAACATTGGTCTTGTGAAGATATACCGTGCAGAAATTCACACAAGTGTAACTGTTGGTTCTTTATTCAACACCCAACTACATAGTGGATTTTGAGGACGTAGAAGGATTACCCCACCTTCGAACCTCGTTAAAGTTTGCGTGTCTCTCTCTCTTATCTTTATTCTTACTTGCAATTATATTAACTGTGAAAACTAACCTATCCATATTAATTACTGCTCACTCCACCCACAAAATTCCGCACACAATCTAAAGTTCACAAGGACTCTAGATTAACACTCATTTTCTCATTTTCAAAAGAAACGAAAAAGATTTTAAACTTGTAACAAAGTCTATTCACCCCCACTCTAGACTTTGTATTTCACCACTTTGGGACCACCAATTGGTATCGGAGCAGTCTTCTCACTATCTACATTTAGATTAACGAGAAGCGATCAAAATGGTGAACAATATGGATCATGGTTTGCCCAAGTTTTCTCTTCTAGGTTATGATGATTGGAAGATCATGATGGAAGCACACCTTTACGCTCTACATGATTGCATGTGGATGGTGCTTGAGGATGGACCCTTGAAAATCCAAATGGAGAATCCTGAGAGGAATCCAGCAACTCCAGACGTAGTCCAGTACATTCCAAAGCCCAAGGAAAAATGGGATGATAGAGATTGCAAAAAGCACAATCTGGATAACGTCGCCAAAGCAGCCATCTTCAAGACACTTGACCCCATCACCTTCTCCAAAATTAAGCACCTCAAGACTGCCATGGAGATATGGCAAGGTCTTGGGAATCTATGTGAGGGTTCAGAGGACTTGAGAAAACAGAAGATAGAAGTCCTGCTTGAGAAGTTCAAAAGCTTCAAAATGCTTCCCGGAGAATCATTTGATATGCTAGATGAAAGATTCCACAAAATCTTGAATGATCTTGCATCACTTAACCACGTTCTTTCTCCCAAAGAAAAGAATGTAAGGTTGCTGAGATCTCTTCCAACTGAGTGGTACACCAAAGCCACAGCCATGGAAGAAGGAAGAAATCTGGAAAACTACATTGTTCAAGGTCTTCTTGATGAGCTCAGAACCTATGAGCACGAGCTGAAGAAGAAGAAGGAAGAACAAGTCATTCCCTTCCCCACGGCACTGATGACAACTCCAAGAGTCCCATCAAGTGAAGGGACATGCCCAAGGAACTGTGACACACCCTCCTCCAGCCAGCCGTCAAGTTCAAAAATGGAGAACTACGATGAGAAATTTGCCATGATGGTCAAGCAATTCCGGAAGTTCAAAAAGTTCTTCAAGAAGGCTGACTCAGTCAGAAGGCCATCCAAGGGAAAGCCACAGGTAAGTGACTCTCCTCCTGAATCTTATTTGTGTTACAATTGCAGGAAGCCCGGCCACTAGAAGTCAGCGTGCCCGTACCCAAAAGTGGAGAAGTACGGAGAAAGAGAAAGGAACGAGAAGAAAAAGAAGGCAATGGTTGTTGCTGAAAGTGACGAGTCATCCAGCTCAAGCTCGGATGAAGAAGCTCTCGTGTTCATGGAGCGCAGAGCTGAAAAGTCCAACCATGAGGATAGGTGGACCATGTCAGAAGATGACACTCTCTGCCTAATGGCCAAAGATGATGCTGATCAAGAGGTAACCTCACAAACCTCCTGCTCATCTTCTTATGAAAGCATACCAACTTCTGAAAATCTTTTTGACCAGTTCAAAAAGATGATGAAAGACTTTGAGGAG